TCTCCGACTGACTCGATCGACTGTGTGTCGCGTCGTCGGGACGAAATTATTATTCTTTCAATTTCAGCCAACGCTTCAAAAACACCGCCGTCTTGCGTTGCGCCCTTGACGCGTCCGAATTGAAACGTCCGTCGGAGCCGCAGACGAACCCCCCCCCCTCCCTCCGCCCTCTCGGTTCCGCCCGGTGTCAAAATCCTTTTACCGTAATCCCCTGAGCGTGAAGCAGACGTAAGAAGAAATTAAAAAATATGAAATGTGCGACGCTGCCGGATATTGCCCACCGTGAGTGGGGTTTCTGTGTTAAAACGAGAGAATCGGCAACTGCGCTTGCAAGGCTGTCGGCGGTAGCACTAATTACCTTGGTTTGAGGGTGAAACAAACGGCGGGATTTTTTAACTGTGGTGCGTGGCAACCCTGATCCGAACGTGATGAGTGAGTGGGCCGGGTTTAGATGGAAAAGTTCTGAAAATATGTATATCGGGCCCTATTAGACGCCCAATCTGGTTTGTGCCCTCCCGTCGGCTGCCAAGCATAAATGAATCATCAATTACACGTGATTTCGTCCAACACTGAGTTTTCGTTCGTGCTCGCTACAACCGGTAATGAGGAAAATATGGATAGCGCCCGTTAACAATGCAGGAAAATAACTACTCTTACCGCCCCAAAGGATAGCTCTTAACGAGAATCCCCAGGTTTTGAACTTATTTCGGAGCGGAGAGAGATTTGACCTTTCTAATATTTTGATCGAATTGAAAAGGTACGAGAACTTCATAATTTTTTGCTTAAAAAACCCAGGATGAGAGCCTTATAGTTCCTACCCAATTTTTTTTCCCAATGTTCAGTCCAACACCCAATTTTCAGTCGAACACCCAATTGTCAGTCCAACGCTCAATTTTTAGTCCAACACACAATTTTGAATCCAAGATGGAAAGGAGAAACCTGCGGCGCGGCGGTCAGCTCAGCATGTAACACGTATTAGCGCCTACAAGACTGCATGAATACTTCACGCATTGCGTGAAAGACAGTGCGGTCACTGCAGTCAGCGTGAAACGCATAGCGCCTACAAGACTCTATGGATACTTCACGCATTGCGCCAAGCCAACACCCAATTTTTTTCTTTCGTGGAAGAAATTTTACCGTTAGCTATCTACAGTTCATTCTCAGATATCTCGCTCAGGGTGGTTGACTCTCGCTCAGAAAAAACCTTGTCATAAAATCAAGATTATGGATAGCTTTTGGCTGTGCACATACTTAGAGTTTCCTGATTAAACCCGAAGATTTCCTCCGAGGCTCCTGATTAAACTCGAGGACTCTGTTAATTTTTCCCAAAAAAATCAAGACTCGCAGTGTTTGTGTCGGCGCTCACAGCGGTCGAACATCAAAAACCTCCCACTGAGCAGTCATTCAACAGGGAATGTACCAAGTAATCTTAATTTGACGGTTCTGATGAATCTCACTCGAAACGAGAAGCAAGTTTTCAAACTGGGAAAAATAACACTCTATCCTCGCATAATGTCCGATTTTTGACGTGCACAACATTTAGGTAGAAGCGCGGTCCTGGTGAGTTAAATTTGTTATTTCTCAGTCGGCTTACTTTCAAAAGTTGCATGCAGTGATAACGGTGTTTCGGATACTAGCCATATTCATTCTAACGTCGTCTCAAGAAGACCCTTTTTCTGAGCGAGTCTCATCATTCCAACGTCGTGTCTCTCCCTCTGTAGGAAGCTGCGAGGGGTCAAAAACCCTCTCACCCCGATTCGTTATCTTGCAGCCTTCACGATACCCTGATCTTGGATATGTGGGAAAGTCTTGGCTCCAGGCCTCTGACGGGACTTTCTTATCGTAGCCGTAACGTGGGTGCAAGAAGCCTGTTTTTTCGTGAAGATTCTCAAGCCCCGTTTAGTCGAATGAAGCTGGGATAATGTGTTTTGAAGAGGGTGTCGTAGGTTGTAGGCCTGGGAGAGGAAGGAACACACCCCAATTCAAATCATTCTAAAAGCACAATAATGTGCGGAATGAGCCGAAGAAACGCCCCATTCGTCATAACTTTCTCGAGTTTTTAGTTAAAATGTTCCGATTTGGACTGTTGTCCTTTGAGGGGAAAACTTTTTATGGCGTGTCGAGCCTGATCGATTATCAATATTCCCCCATTCAAAGCTACGGCCAAGAATCGATCATAAAGGTGTTTGTTGCCAACACTCTGTTTATGGATCCTTTTCATAGGTTCAAATGACAGCTCAATCGTAACATCGCGAAGCATGCCACGCCACTGATTTTGATCAGCGTGCCTACAAGTCCGGAAAAGGTACTGATTTTTTTAGGGCGGTCCGGAAATACTGATAAAAAGTGAAATCCCGCAAGAGGGTCCGGAATTTTTTCACTTTTTCCCATGTTTGTTGCAATTTGAGCGATAATTTCAATTTTTTTAAATTGGTCGAATTTCGTCAATTGGAGGTACGAAAAAAGTACTGAATTTTTCTGTTGATGAGGTACTGAATTTCTTGGGAATGCACTGAAAAATTACTGTAAAAGTACAGATTTTTGGCCAGCCTGTTTTTGTATAGACACCCCGTTGATGTGTCTTGATTCCTTTCAGTCATGCTCGATCAACATCGAGTCACCAAAGGTCGAGTCACTTTCGGATATCAGGGAATCGAGTACAGTTCCATGAATTCGGAAACCGTTACCAGATTTATCATCTTTTTTGTCCGCGTTGTCTCGACGGTGACAAAATTTACGGAGCGAGCTTGTACGTGGGAACTCCCGAAATTCCACTCACGCAAATCACCGCTAACCTCGACGGGGACGAGTCGGGGATGCGAGTATCGATGGTGATTTATGCTCGATATAATTGCGCGAGGAGTGCGCGGCCCGATCGCAATTTGGACGTATTTCTGCCAAACGGAACTATGTGCATTATGACGTGAGCCCTGTTATGCGTGTATTCTTGTGGGTCTCAAGTCTCATGTCTTAATGCACATAGTTCCGTTCGGCAGAAATACGTTCATTTGATATTCACGACACTGCGACCGGGCGAGTGTCACACATGGCTTCGACATCAGTCAGCGGAGCATTCATCCGTTCTTGCAGGTTCATTTACCTTCGCCGCTTAACGTTTAACGCTTAACGCAGAGTAAGCATTAGCAGATGAGTCGAGTCGGGCGTCGCTCGTGAATTTTGGCCCATCACGCTGCGCTGCCATCCTAAGGAAGAACGGCGTGTGAGCCCTTAGAGGTTACCAAACTCCCTTAGACAAATCATGAATTTTCGGAGAAATTTGGGACTAATTTTCCTCCAAATTTTTATGGAATTTTGTTCGTGATTTGATCTTGAGCGTCTGCAAATTTCAATGGAAAATGTTTTCAACTATCCGCGAAAATTAGTATTTTCTGAGAGTGAATTTGACAACATTTGAATGTTTATGCGGCGTTTTTCCTTAGCATGGCAGTACGGTTTACTGTGGTGTTGGGTGCTTTGCAATGTATTGATTGATATATCATTTGAACCTATGGAAAAGGATCGATAAACAGGGTGTTCGCAACGACCACTTTAATAATCGATTCTTTACCACAGTTTCAAATGGGGAAATATCGATAATAGACCATTCATGCCTCGCCACTGACGGTTACCGATCGACAGCAGGGAAAAAATCAAGAGTTTCCGATTCTTCAGTTCCCCGTTCAAATTTATCGTTGGGACCGTTATTTGAACTCGGTTCATCAGAAACGCGCCAATTTGCATCAGTGGCGATTCTTGAAAGTTGGTAAGGTTGTTTTTCCTCCATTTAAATGTATGCATAACAATCGATTCCTGGCGAGACAGCTTGTGTCGCCTAAAATCGATATATTTAATGGATTTAAATTGAGGAAAACAGTTTTGCCGACTTTCAAGAATCAGGTTCACTTTCAAGTTGCATCAAGTTTGAACCGAGCAACGCAACAAAGGAGCGCGGGCTCAAAGAAGGAGAGCAGGAATGAAAATACGAAATATTTTAAATTTTGAAAACGGATCCCGTGACTGAGAAGTGCATCGTTGGGACATCAAAATCGCGCGAGCGAAATGTTTACGCGGAAAGTTGCAAAAACGCGAACTATGAGTTTCGGTTTCGACTGACTCTGCGAAAAGTTCGGCCATTATTTACCTTCTCTGATTTCGTGTTTGACGGATGACGCAAAACGGCTTGCTTCCTAACAAAATGAGCAGTCGATGGGACCATTCACTCCCTCTGACCTTAAAATAATACGTGGTTTCAGTAACTAGCTAAGTTGTAAAATAATTACTCTCCTTCATAGGATAAAAATGACCATCGACATCAGTTCCACGAACTTTTGACAAGTTATTCTCGAAAATCTGGTGTCTATACTTCCAGAAAATGCACACAAACTCGTAATTAATTTTCTCGAGGACACCACTTTACACGGTTGCCGCGTTCGCCAGGCGCCAAGGCACCCAGTAACTGCTGTGCCCGAAAAGACCTGAACGCCCGGACAAGAAAGTAAGCCATAGAAATTTGAAATTTTGTTCCTGGTATTCGGCAGGAATGCCACGTGTGGTGATAGATGATACAAACCAGGACAGACGTTCCCAAAGAGGTTCGGAACTGTAAATATGTATGTATAAAGCCGCTTTTATAGCGCTCTTTGGCGCTCTGCGACACCTAGCCGCCAAAGTCCCCTATCCTCCCAAAGCCCTTCGGGGAGTTGGCAAAACCTCATTTCTTCTAAAACCTCCTGTCGCCACCCTTCACTGGGCGTCCCCTTCGTCTTCTCCCAGGAGGAACCCAATCGAGCATCTTCTTCGGTAGCCTTTCGTCCGTCATTCTATTGACATTACCATATCAGACAAGCTGTCTGGTCATGACGTCGAATATGATGTCAAAAATATGATTTACCTTTAATTGAGCTTTAAATCTAATTCGCTTAGTGATGAAACCAGAGATTGGTTGTTGGGTGGTTGACGAGAACTCGGTGACTAAGATTGTTCGTTGATTTGTGTTTCAGTATGCATCGGTACGAACGGACGGATGTCGGTGCCGTCGACGCGGTCGCACCACTACAAGAACCTGCAGGACCGGTACACCAACTGCACTTACGTGGACGGGAACCTGGAGATCACGTGGCTGGAGGACCAGAACTTGGACCTCAGCTTCCTGGCCAACATCCGCGAGGTGACCGGCTACGTGCTCATCTCCCACGTCTCCGTCAAGAAGGTGGCTCTCCCTAAGCTCCAGATCATCCGCGGCCGAACCACCTTCAAGGCCCCCGTCCACGAGGACGAGTGGTCCCTCCTCATCACCCTCACCAAGGTCCTCAATGTCGAAATGCCCGCCCTCAGAGGTAAGACATCTTTCACTACTCTCATTTGGAATACATTTTGCAATAAGGAACCACTATCTCTGGCTCTCTCAAAAAAGCACATATCTTCATATGGAAACCAATGGCATGTATGTTGTTTCTAAAATGGGCCAGAAATAGTGGTTCCTTCTTGCAAAATGTAATCGATTTCTCTCTCGGATAGGGCGCCCTCCCTTTCATGGGTAGAATGGAGATTTTGCATGCGAATTTTTTATTGCTTCTTCCGAAAGTGCTTAAAGAGCTAATTTCACAGCATTTATTATAGTTTTTTTCTGTTTTGGGAAATGGTATAAAAATAGATTTAAAAGTGAGAAAATGCACCGCCTAGTGACGTCGTCATCCGGCGGCATTTCCTATTTTAACACATTTATTTTAACTGATTAGATATTTTTGTCATATCTTCTCCAAGAATTGTCCAATTCATTAACCAAAGGTATCCTCGTGTTCAGGTCACTCAGTAGTTTCCCTTTAAACACGAAATTCATCAAATTTCAGACACCTGCAAATTCTCTATTAAAGTTGACTTCTGGGGGCCGAAAGTCAACTCGGCATCTCTTCAGAATTAAGAGGGGGTTGGCTAAGTGAGTGGGTGAAATATTCTTCATCTCTGATATTGTAATTTGATCAATTTTTCGGCGAGAACAGCTCATAATGTATTGCTCGTGAGACAAAGAAGTAATTAAAAATTTTCCTGGATAGGTCCCCCAGGATCTCCTCAGAGAAACTTCCCTAAACGCTCCTTTACAGTTGGGAGAGATCTTTCCTGGTGAGGTGTTATTAGTGGCCCCCCCCCCTCCCGAATAAAATGCCGCTCCTGTATAAAATGCCCCTCTGGCCCCCCACCAAATGTTCCCCGTAGTGCCTATGTTAAATATTGCCCACGTTAAATATTTTTTCATTCCATTATCATCCCCTATTATGCGTTTTTTTTTCGTGTTTTAACGTCCCATATTTTTAACTTCTCTGTTATGTATGTTACAGATGTTCTAAATGGAAGCGTTGGTATCCTGAACAACTACAACCTGTGCCACATCAAGTCCATCAACTGGGATGAGATCATCACAGGTCCAAATGCCCGCTACACGTATATCTACAATTTCACGAATCCTGAACGTGAGTGTCCCCCGTGCGACAAGTCCTGTCCAGCTGGCTGCTGGGGTGAAGGCCCACAAAACTGCCAGAAATTCTCAAAAACCAACTGCAGCCCTCAGTGCTATCAGGGGCGCTGCTTTGGTCCCAACCCTCGAGACTGCTGCCATCTATTCTGCGCTGGAGGCTGCACCGGACCTAAACAAAACGATTGCTTGGTGAGTTCCAATGTCCTTTCTTCTATCATCAACTGTTCAATTGTTCTGCTGTAAAATTTCAAATTATATATAATTTTAGTACCCATGCTCGCTAACTCTAGCCGTTATGTTTATCATCATAAGGATCTTGATTCCATCTCACTTTTATCTAATTTACATGAAGTTGCTATTTCAAATTAAGAATCCTACGAAATAAAAATTGAAATCGAAATCGAAATTGAAGGAAACAAAAGATGTCTCTGTGTAGGTAGTTTTTCTGGCTCATCCCCTGTCAATCACGCTAGGTGTACTTAAAAACAATGTGTTTATATATGTGTATATAACAAGCTTAATAAAAGCTCCAGCCATAGTCAGTGACCGCGTAAACTCATCACTCCTTTATTACTTTTTGACTAAAAATTATATCCAGGGATCCTAAAAAAATAGCATTTTTTCTCAAGTAAGAGGGAAGATCTATGGAAATTCGAAATTCGGCCTGCCAAAAACAATATTTGTACATCTTTCCTTTGCTGAGTTTTGTCCAGTTTCATTTTTTTTATTTTACTCTCAGTTGGTGTATCTACATTTGCACCAACTTAAATACATTTCATTAAATCAGCCATGCGCTAATCATTAAATTTCAAAAACAATTTTCTGAAAGTTTAAACACAGGTTTTAGTAGCTCAAAGCTCTACTCGCTCGTGTTTCCTGATCCTCTGATCAATGAAAACTAACTCATTCATTTTTCCAGGCTTGCCGCAACTTCTACGATGATGGTGAATGTGTCCAAGAATGTCCTGCGATGCAAAAGTACAATTCGATAACGTATTCATGGGAGACTAATCCGCATGGGAAGTATGCGTACGGGGCAACTTGTGTGAAACAGTGTCCCGAACATTTACTCCGAGACAATGGCGCCTGTGTCCGGATCTGTCCCCCAATGAAAAGAGTAAGTTCCCTCTATGAAAATGTTTGGAAGCATAGCTTCTAACTGTGTAGAAGTACCTAAGGTTACTAAGATTTTGGAGTAAATAAAATAAAATTTAGTAAATTACCCAGATTAAATTTACTTTACAGATTAAATTTTCTAGAATAAAGAGTTAATAAAACAGCCATTCTCTCATTACTATCAAGTAAATGTGACTGCTCCTGACAGAAAGGACCTTAGTCATGGAGGAAAATTTTTAGTAGAAGAATTTGTGTGAAGCTCAATAATTAAAAAATCGGATTTGAATTTTGAACAGAAAACTATTCATAGTGTCCCACAGAGTACTAAGTTGGAAGTCATCATCTAATTGTTTGTTATGATATTAGAGGCCCTAAAATTTCATCACAATTTGGCAGCTTTGTACTGTGCAAGCGATGAATTAGCAGAATTTAAATCATATTATTTCGAAACAGCGTTTCTGTATTGCAAACCTGTATCAGCCATAAATGCAGTTTGGTTCAACATTTTCGGGGGTTTATCGTCCCCAAATGTTCCTAGAATTCTTGTCAGTGCTTCCATAGCAATAACTTAATTCTGAGTCGGTGCAAATTGTATCTTTTTCCTGTGGATTGTTGCAAATCTACGAACAAAGCACCATCATATGTAGGTACTGTACGATATCAGAAAAAAAATGTATCAAATAGATTAGTCATTGTAATATTCTCATGAAAGATGATTCTCTCTTGAGAATACTTGTATGAATTTTGGCACTTTCATAAAGTGTCAAAGTGTCTCTTATTCTAATCTTAGAGGTAATTTTAGTCAGGAGAGGTATATCTACCTAGAATTAGAATTTTATGACACATAACTTACGAATCAAAACTGTTGAGCTGGTTTTGGGTAATTATATAATCTTTTTTTGAACATTAGTTCACCATTTGAACAAATGCTGCTTGAATAGTTATTCATTTTGACAAAAATGAAAACAGACATATTTTGCAAAATATGTCTGTTTTAATGAATATGAGTTTCTTCAAAATGTAGGTATGGCCGCAGCTGCAGTAACCTCTGTCAGAAATAAATTAATGCGCAATTTTTTCTCTTTTCTCATGGTATTATTGAAAATAACTCAATTAGACATTAAATTAATTTTTAATCCTTTTTCAGGCTGTAAATGGAGAATGTGTTCCATGTGAAGGTCCGTGTCCAAAAACCTGTGAAGGTGTTCCTGTTGTGCATGCAGGGAATATCGACTCATTCCAAGATTGCACCATTATTGAAGGTTCCATTTCAATTCTAGAGCAGTCTTTCAAAGGGTTCCAGCAAGTGTACTCAAACTTCAGTTTTGGTGATAGGTATCCAGAAATGCACCCTGACAAGCTAGAAGTATTCAGCACACTCAAAGAAGTCACCGGTTTCATTAATATTCAAGGCTCTAATCCAAATTTCACCAATTTATCATATTTCAGGTAAATTTTTTGTGTGTCAACTAATTTTTCAATTTTAGTAGGAGAGTCTGAAGTAACATTTATTCTTTTTTATTTTATTTCATTTCATTTCATTTATGTGTTACACAACCCTCAATAAGGTTAAGTGCACATTAGTGGGTCCAAATGACAGCGACTGTGCAATTTCGTGCCAAAAAAATTTTTTTAACCGGGTTTTGAGAGTTCTTTCAATTATTAATCAAATGGGTCCATTTTTTTTAGGTGTTGCTCTAGAACGCAGGAAAAAATATCAAGTAAACAAATGTTGGCCTAGAATGTTTTAAGCTGTATTTTAGCGTAAGATCTACTTTTCTCTAACATTTTATTTTGTTTTTTGTGTGCAGGAATCTGGAGGTAATAGGAGGTCGAATGTTGACTGAGTTATTCTCTTCACTCTACGTTGTCAAAACATCGCTGAGATCTCTAGGCCTACGTTCACTGAAGAAAATTAACACAGGAAGAGTTACTATTTTGGAGAACGCTGAGTTATGTTTTGGAGAGGGCATTGATTGGTATAAATTCAAGCAAAAGGAGGAACACCCTCCCATGATGGAGAACAATAAAGCCAAAGAAAAGTGTGGTAAGAATCTTGTGTTTGTTTTGCCTTAGACTTCAGTACAGCTCAGGAGGAGGACACAATAGATAGACCTTTCTCTGAACCTGAAAAAGAAACGAATATAGATCTAAGTTGTTAAGATAAAAAGCTGATAACGTTCATCTTAAATATTCAAAAATTTGGTTTGAAATAATCCTACTTTTCTTTGGCAGTTTGCAGGATACTGCCCGTCATTTTTGGTCTTTTTAAAGTACATATAAACATTCTGCAATCTGCTTAATCTGTGGTTAGCTGGTTTTAATCAGTAATTACCATGACACTATGGAGCGTTTATTATCACTAAAAAATTTGCCTTTTCTATCTTTCAGTACAAGATGGTTTAGTCTGTGATGCGCAATGCTCAAAAGATGGATGCTGGGGGCCAGGCCCAGACCAATGTCTAGCGTGTGCAAACTATCGTCTTGAAAATAACACCTGCATTCAAGATTGCTCAGTGCTATCCAAGTAAGTTTTCTTTCTCTTCCCTATCAGTGATTCGTTGTCAGAAAGTTCACGTATGTAAGAATGTCTGCATTCATTCAGGACTTTTTTTGCTGTCTTAAACCAAACTTACCAAACTTTGTCTTTACTTTGTCTCTTATACTTGATCATCCAAGCAAAGAAGAAATTTAGAATAGTTTTATTATAAAAAAAAAAGGAATGTATGACACTGCAGGAAATAGTGAACCTTCAAAATTGCCAATTGAGATACATGTTTTTGTAGTTTCATCATCACTATGAACCATCAAAGTTTGGTCACGCTATAGAATTAACTATATTAATTTGACTCAATTTAATTTATAGAAGTGATGGCGGTAATATTTTTACAATCATATTTTTTTCTTCTTAGCCTCAAAAAGTTTAAGTTGAAATTACTCTATATGAATTTTACTGTTATTGGAGCTTTTTTGCTTCTATTGCACTGTAATTTTCATTTTAACAGCATTTTAACTAATTTTTTTTTGCAGTTTGTTCGAATATGACTCCAAGCTGTGCAAAGAATGTCATCCAGAATGTGAATCAACCTGTCATGGTCCTGGAGCTGGTAATTGTACGCGGTGCAAGAACGTAAAAGACGGGCCATTCTGTGTCCCAGCATGTCCGAGCAGCAAGTACAGTCGTGATGGCGAATGCCTTCCGTGCCACCCGAACTGCATGGACAGTTGCACTGGCCCAGAGAATAATATTGGTCCCAACGGATGCCGTTCCTGTGAAAAAGCCATCACAAATGCAGATGTTGTTGTGGTAATTTTCTTTCTCAAACAAATATGATTATTTTTCAAGAATTTCCACTAAATAATCAAATCTACATACATTTTCAGAACTAATTTGATCTCTCTCTACAGTGGTTTTTATAATTATTTTGCTTAATGGATATCCCATAGTTAAAATTTCAACAGTTTCAATTTGTGTGTTTAATGAACTATCGAAAAGATTGCAAATTGACCAAGTTCAGCAGGAAGGAACCACGCCACATCATCTCTTGCCAAATTTAATTTTTTACATGAAAACGGTTGTGCGGATTTTTGTGCAAATTTCAGTGAATTTTCTGCATAGTACAATGAAAATTCCCAAAAATTTCCAAAGGAATCCGCATAAACGTTCTCTTACAAAAAATTAAATTGCCCAGTTAAATTTTGCAATAACTGATGTGGCTCGATTCCTCTCTGCCAAACGCAGTCCAAATATCGTCTAGTACTTTTTTGTAACTCAACTTTCAGCCTCTAATTTTAAAAATTGATCCAAACTACATTCCTCCTGTTTCACCAGGATCTAAATGCTATAAATTTTTTCCTTCTCTAGGAGCGTTGTTTGCAAAAGAACGAATCTTGCCCTGATGGCTATTACTATGAGTGGGTAGTTGGGCAAGAGCAGGGTCCCTTGAAGCCTCTCGCAGGGAAAGCAATTTGCCGAAAATGTCACCCTCGCTGCAAGAAGTGCATCGGATATGGTTTCCATGTCGAAGTCTGTCAAGAATGTGTCAACTACAAACGAGGTGAGGTCTGTGAAGATGAATGTCCTCCAGACCACTATGCTGATGACAAAACGCATGTATGTAACGAATGCTACAAAGAGTGCACTGGCTGTTACGGACCAGGGCCGAGTAATTGTTTCAACTGCCGCAGCTTGAAAATTTTCAAGGTAAGTCATCAGAGTAGATAATTGACAGTCAAAAATCAAGTATAGACACTAGAAAAAAACTATAATGAATGGAAATAAGTTTCCCTATTAAATTTTAGATTCTTAATGGCGAAAATTGTAAGCAAATTACTGTGTAATTGAGATTGTCTCCGAAGAAATTTTAAATGAAAGCATCAGAGAGAGCTATTGGCAATTTTTTACGTTTATCAAAAGCCACTCAAAAATTGTATTTTAAACACCTTTGATGCATGGTAACAGAGCCTCTAGTTAAACTTGATGCCTAGAAATTTTTCACAATGTAACAGAGTTTTTAAAGTAGCAAAACTATAGTTTCCTCTGCAAGAAATTGACAAAAGTGTGACTTTGAGTGGCTGTGAGCGGCACCAACTTTGCAACAAAATATGGAACTTTCCTTACCAAGAAATTGAGTGTAAGCTTGTCTTCTCCAATTTGGTTGAACTAAAAAATTGCAACTAAGATTTGCAACCCCTGTAATTAACTGAGGTTCTTTTCATTTATAGGACGGACGACATCCTGACTCAAATGCAACAGCATTTAATTGTACATCTCACTGTCCATCAGATATTCCACACAAGATTTTCCCAGAAGACAATGTGAGTGGACCATACTGCTCCATTGAACCAAATGTTTTGAAACAAAAGTAAGTATATGCTTCTTTAACTATGCTTGTTGATCATTTAGCAGCCACAATATATCTGCAACCAATTTTCAATGTCCATCTGTGCCTTTATGAATTTTTTTATGACCGTAAGTCTAAGAGTGCTCTAATTCAAGTAGATTATCAGACAACTTGCAGGTTTTTGAGTTTTTTTATTCGCTGATCAGGCCTCATGGGCGATTTTCTCTTGGAAATTTTTGTTCTGCTGTAACTACTTTTTACAGTTAGCTCTAAGACTTGTGTGAAAGAATTCAAAGAACACTGACACACTGCAAGATACCTACCCCAAAATTGTAAATTAAACTTTTCATGCATCTAAAGAGAATTTGTGTCCATTGTGTTGTTGCTGTCAAGTCAGTCATAGGTTTGTCCGTTTTCTCACGCTCAAATGCTTCTCTTTTCAGGGAGAATCCACCGATAACAGGATCCACTGCTATCTTCACCATCGTTTTACTTGGGAGCTGTTGCATCATAGCTGCATTCATTTATGGCGTTATGAACTGTCGTAAAAACGCAAAGAACGTAGAAGAAGCAGTCAAAATGACAATGGTGATGAGTGGAATAGAAGACAATGAACCTCTTAGGCCGTCTAATGTCAAGCCTAATTTGGCAAAATTGAGAATTATCAAGGAGGCTGAAATGAGAAAAGGCGGAATTTTGGGTTATGGTGCTTTTGGAACTGTGTATAAGGTAAAAATTCCCTCTTGATCTCTTTCTAACAAATCTTGAAAGTGGATATTTTCTCCTCTCATTCACATGTCTTCAAAAACATGTTTAAAAAATGTTGATTTTAAAATTCTACTGACAACTTTGCGATGATACTCACAACGAACATTAAGAGGAGGGCATAACTATGCTATGCTCTCTCTGAGATTTGCCTTCTACAGTGAGAGAACTCTGTATAATGCAAAGTCATGACGTCACCTTTGGTATGATCGCATGATTACCACGTTGTGTCTGATATTATACTTACCCTTTTGGATGAAAATTTCACTAAATTGCGTTTTTAAACCAAATTGCTTTTTATCTAATAAAATATTGGTACTTACTTTAGGTTTTAGGTAAACAGATAGATAAGCTTCACAATCCTTGCAGCATTAGAAAGGGAGCGGCATCTTTTTGAACTTATCAATTCAACCTTACCAACCTTTGATTTGAAGTTCTCATGCAGTTATTAAAATTCAAACATTCCAAATAAGTGTTACAGATTTTTTGCCAAAAATTAATCTTGCATTTCCAAGTGTTTTATGTAGTGTTGTAATTAATATCCTAATGTCGTTTTTTTTATTTGACAGGGTGTATGGGTACCTGCTGGTGAAAGTATGAAAATTCCAGTTGCAATCAAAGTCCTCCGTGACACTCCTGGTGTGAACACTAGCTCTGACTTTCTGGAAGAAGCATACATCATGGCCAGTGTTGAGCACCCGAACCTGCTGCAGCTGCTGGCTGTTTGTATGACATCGCAACTCATGCTTGTAACGCAGCTCATGCCTCTTGGCTGTCTGCTGGACTACGTGCGGAACAACAGAGACAAAATTGGGTCGAAACCATTGCTGAATTGGTGCACGCAGATCGCACGAGGGATGGCGTACCTAGAAGAAAAACGCTTAGTGCATAGAGACTTGGCAGCGAGAAATGTTCTAGTCCAGACCCCAAATTGTGTTAAGATTACAGATTTTGGGCTGGCCAAATTGCTCGATATCAATGAAGATGAGTACAAAGCAGCCGGTGGAAAAATGCCCATCAAGTGGCTAGCGCTGGAATGTATCCAGCACAGGATATTCACTCACAAAAGTGATGTTTGGGCTTTTGGTATGTATTTCTTTTTAAATGAATTATTACCCAGAAATCTGGAGGACGCCTCCTATTTTAAGGATCAATTTTCCGAATAGTTTTCTCCTCTGCATTTATTGTATTGTTGATCTAATTCTTCTTATGGAAACATTTCCGTCGAAAAAGCTCATTAACACAATGATAAGTTTTGCTTGAATTAGTTGCTTTTAATACTTGTTTACTGTATCACTCTTAAAGTGTACCTACAGATTTTGCAACAAATTTGCTGTAGGATGTCGCAAGGCACCCTGAATGAAAACAGAAGAAAAGATGACCAGTGCCTTATCAATAATTTGCACGGAAAAATTCTTAACTTATATCAACTGACTATATTTTTTACTTTCCACTAACTTACTCCCTGTGATTGGTATGCAGGCGTGACTGTATGGGAGCTTCTGACCTACGGAGGTCGGCCGTATGAAAATGTTCCCGCACGAGATGTTCCTGAATTACTAGAGAAAGGTGACCGGTTAAGTCAGCCACGTATTGCAACAATTGAAGTGTATTTGGTCATGATCAAGTGCTGGATGTTGGATGCTGAGAGCCGGCCATCATTCAAAGATCTGGCAGATGATTTTGCCAAGATGGCGCGAGACCCTGGCCGGTACCTTGTCATTCAAGGTGATAAACATCTGCGGCTACCCTCCTATTCTTCGCAGGTAAATTTCTGACACATTTTGGTGGCAATCTTGATTCTTTTGAACAGTTTAATTGGCGACATTCATTCTCCTCTCATTTCTGATTTTAGAGTGTGAGCAATTTTTACTAGCTTCCTTTTTATTTTTATTATAATTTGCTACAAATGTGAGATTTCCTCAGATAATAAGTGCAAAAATACCTGAGGTATCATGAGACCCAAGTTTCTCCCATCAAACATGTTGCGTGAAAAATTTATTTTGAAGTGAATGAGACGAACAAATTTCAAAATCAAAGTAATCCTTCACCTGAAGATGTCAACCATCTGATGTACCTACTGAGACATCATCTGCTTTTAATATTTATTTTATCATTAAGTGAAAGAATTATTCATTGTAAATAATGCTTCATCAGTTCAGCAATCCTAAAGAAACTTTACTTCATACTGAGTGTATATATTTGGCTTTTTCAGGATGAGAAGGATGTTATTCATCCGACACAAACCGAAGTTGTTGATGGAGCAACTGATTCCGAGGAGTATCTCCAACCAAAAGGAACAAGAGTTGTGCCAGTAAGAGATAACCCCACACCACAAAACGTTGCAAACTGGGGAGAGCTTCGCAAATACTCTTCGGAACACCAGCCCTCTAGATATTGTACAGACCCTCTTGGTAAAGGAGGTAAGTTTTCATAGTCTTCCAACCAGATATATTTTTAAATAGGAATTTTTATCAGCAAGCCAATGGCAACTATTGAAACTATGTTGGCACAGAACAAGACACAGCCCTATCTTATCATGCAATATGTCTCATTTCGACGTCTGTTGTGCTGTCGTAAAATTTCAATATTCAGTCCGCAAAAGGACTCAAAATAAAAGGCTCTTATTTTGTGAACGCAACCACTGTGAGGAGTTTATTCAGTGAAGTTTCCGCAGAACTGTATCTATCCTAAATAATATCCTCAATATGTTTGATTGATTGGTCAAGTCTAGGGTCACCACTATTTTCTTATTGCTAGATTTAGTCTTTCCTTATTGCACAAGGTTTTTGTTAGGACTGCCTCTTTGGAGGCTTCATAGGAATTTGTCTCAGCTTTTGATGAAAGTACTCCAGTAGTTGAAAAATTGGCTGCCAAAGAAGCTGCTGTTGCTCAGGGGACATTGGTTTGCCACTTTGGTCTTGTAGATCCAGTGTTGAAGGCTATCTTGTGGAGGGCGCTCTCAGTGTCTCCCTCATTCTGTCAATCTTGGTTTAAAAAATTGTCTATGTTAGTTCCTCATCCGCTGTTAAGTGCAATTAATTGAGGATGTTTTATTCGTTTGTTCAAGCCAAAAGAATACATCTCTGAAATTTTCAAGTTTCAGTAGTCATCCATTGTCAGATTACAAGTTGACATACACACCAATAAGTCTTTGAATTTTTTGACCCTCAGCCTCTTACCTTTTAGGTATTTGTTAGTTTTACCAAGAGCTTCTCAAATTTAACACATATTTTTCTTTTCTCTTCTGCAGAGAGCGATACCAGTGATGACCTCATGTCAGTCAAGCGTGAGGCGCAAGTAGGTGACTTAAAATTAGAACTGCCGTTAGATGAAGATGATTACCTCATGCCGTCTCCTCAGACGTCACAACCAACGCAGTATATGGATCTAATTGGAGATTCAAAACTTCCTAATGGTAAGTTTCAGTTGAATTATTATCCATAGGCTCAGACTCCAATAATGTGATCGTATTTATTAGAAGGGAACCAGCTCTACTCGAGTGATGTAAAATTATGCATCTTCATCTCTATCCAAAAAATTGCCCAGATTAGCAAATAGTTTTTATTTTTGTTTTTAAAAAATTGTAAATTTTAAACAGAAACGATTGTGTTATCAATGTGCATACATTTAGTATTTTTTTAAAGCAAAGGAGTTGCACGATTTTGAAATTGCTGTAACCTAGTTAGTTCCCTTCTGTTAAGTGAAATCTATTCGATCTTTGGTCTTGTATTTAGGTGCATTTTTGTTCCGGAAGATAACTTTCCATTAATTTTGTATAAAAACTGTAAAATTTACAGATCATATTTTAAGGTCTTGAATGTTATTTTTCCTAGTTATAATCTGAAAATATTCAAACAAGTGCAACTGTTAGTTAATGAGTCTTTGAGAATAGAATCACCAATTTCAATAATATATCTTAAAAAGTTCAAAAGGAGTTATTATTTGAATTGTTTTTTTTTTTTTTACATCAATATTTTAATTGCTCGTTTAACATTTAAGATTCCATAAGATCATGCTGTCAAAAACCAGAAATTAATTGTATAATAAATTCATAAAACTCAGAGCCCTCCTCCGTTTGTATTATTTCTAATTTTCTCGTGCCTCTCTGTTTTCAGACACAATAAAACCAGGAATGACACGAAATTACAATCCTGACTTCCTTCCAGGTCCTCAGACGAGCGTAGACAATCCAGAGTACCATTTTGTAGCGAATCAAATCTCGCAAACGATAGGAATACCCCACCCGGTGATGGGCGCGAACGGCCCTTGTTTGGGGATCCAACAGAAGTCCTCAGAGGAGGAATCTGACCACGAGTATTACAACGACTTTGATCGGCTCCAAAGAGAACTTCAGCCATTACGGCGCAACGAAACAACAGTATGATTGTCGTAGCCCGGTCACTGACTGGTTTTATTGTTTAGCCCCAGATGTGCCACCTTACAGGTTGCGAAAATAACCCAGTTGTATATTTTTCACTGTTCAAGAGACTGAACTGCCATTCATCAAGGAGTAGGAACGGAATGATAGAGCGATCATTTCATTTAACAGATAAAAGCTCTTCATGTATTTCTTTTTCTGAACAAAAGAGGGTATTGTGCGGCAATGAAGTAAAAGCATACTTGGTTCAAGTGAAAGAAGTACAGCAATTACTAATTTTGTTATTGAAGAGCTGTCTCTTTCAGAGTAATTAATGGCTGATTCTTCCTTTGTATTTTATCTAATGGATCAGACTGATTTAACTTTTAAACGTTCTTGTCTTTTTTGTCTTATGCTACCTCAACAGGACTTGGGAAAGTTTGTTTCAAACAATGCAGCAGAGACATTTTCTAATGTGAAGCCTATTTTTGAATCGTTCTAACTTTTAAGTGCAAGGGTCTGTCCTCTTTTCACTTTAATCATTGCGTATAACGCAAATTGGGCAATTCCTCCACCAGTTGGCACATCTGTCAGGGTCAGTCCTTTAGTCTATTCATGTTTTTCTTGTGTGTATAAATTTTATATAATTGTTGAACATCTATGTACAAACCCAATGTATGTAATTAAGAAAATAAGCGTTACGTGTAAATATGTAAAGAGATCGATGCATTGAATTGACTATATTCTAAAACCATTTATTGGTATTTTCAAAAAATACAATTTGAAATCATGCTACAAATTCCTACGGATCAGGAAATACCCTCGCTAAGTGAGTTCTCCTACTCACAGGCAGTATACAAGACATATTTTTCAGAGACTGATGCCATGAGCTTGTGTTTATTTTGCCTTATGAAGTGAATATTCAAGATATTAGCAGGAGAGTGAACTTTTTTGTTAGTTTGTTTACTTGTTGAGTTTTTAAATTAATCTTTGAATCATAAGTTTTGATCTTTCACTGAAAAAATTCAGAGGATTGAAGTTTTAATTTGATTCAAAGGACGTTAAGATCATTTCATCTTGTAGCCTTGGAGAAATTTTTAAAAGCACATTTTTTCCTTTTTCAATACTTGTGGGAGCTTTTTTCTCTCTATTTTATACTTTAGCACAAAAGTGCATGATAAATAATTCCCTCGATTCATATATTTTCTGCGAGTTTTAAACTGAATATCACTAAATTTTTTAGCTCTCTCTATCTTTATATCTTTCCTAAACTGTAGATGGTGCAAGACGATGTTTACTCTTTTTAGAGTAATTTATATTTTTAATTTGTTGCTGCAAATTGTATTGATTGTCTCCGCCTCAAATGTTATGACAAACAAAAAATCAATATCTCCTTTTGGCTGAATGTTTTAAGCTTTTTTAAGTTTTTTTTATAGGTAAGTACTTAATATGCAAATGTAATTATTGACCTAACGGATCCTTTACTTGATTTTTTTTTTAATTTTTTTTTATTTTTTTTTTTAAATTTTTATTTCATTTGAGTCAGATAAATTGTATTGCAGTAAAGAACATAAGCGTTTTGAAATTTTAGATGGCCCCAACAATTAATTTTGCACCATCTGCAGTTCATGATTAATCACTTGAAACTTCCATGTCCATCGCAATGACATAGCTCAGTAATTAAACATTTCATAGGTACTTCCAATAGCTTAAAGCTATAGCTGCTTAGTTATCAAGGATTTTTAAAAAATGCTGAAGAATTAATCCAAAATTATTTGATGCTGTACAATCTGCAGCAATTTCTGAAGCAATATTTGCTTTTACATGACTTAGTGTGGAGAATCATTCTCTAAAACTGAAGTTGTCCGTGCACTTACGATTTATCAGATTTATTGCTGATATTTTAGAACTTTACTTTATCATCATTATCATTATCATTATCATTACAAGTTTGTTTTTGTAACTCAGTTTTCAAAGAATTACAGTTTTATAATCATTCTGTACTTACATATATCAAAATGTAATTTTAATCACAGTGCCTCCTTGAACCACTTTTGACGACCTCAGTTTGAAGATGACACTTTTATCATCAAAGATAAAATTTATTGATCATCTAGACTTTCCGTAGATTTTTTTCCGTTTCTTCGTCCATGTTTCTATTATTTGTAAATGAAATCATTTAACCTTCCAGAACTCATAGTTCAATCAATCTTTATCTGATCTCAGTGTAAATATTCTCAGTATTTTTGTTAATGATTTTTTGGACACAAACACATACTTAATTTGCAATTTTATACATTCCCTTTTTTCAGGCATAAACTCATAAAGCATTTTGTCTGCTATACTATTTACTTACACTCATCGGTGAATTTAAGCATGTGTAATTCTCTGTTTGCGGAGTTTTCCCCCAATTTTTTTATTTAGCTGTAATTTGAGCCATTTTTTGCATTGTCTCTGGAGCATTCCTCCATAAGAACTGGTTTTTGGAACTTTTTGAATTGGTAGCAATTTTTTTTTTAGCAATTTATTATTATTATTATTTATATGTATCTTTATTACATAATTCAATGATTTCTTGCAGTGTCAGGTTTTTTCAGTACGTAACTTTATCTTTGAATGTTAATTTCTACTTGGTGCTTAACCCCAAATGTGCCGAAAACAATGTGTCATTGTTCTTTCTATTCTCGAATTTTTACAAGTATCTGAGTCTGATTTTTTATTGTTTGACCCTTTTTTAATTTTTGAAAAGATATTATTCCCCGCTCTACTAGGTTGACAATGTAAATGACCTCGGTATGGACTGGATAACTACAAAATTTTGTCTCCGGTGACATCAAATTTAATCTAAGATTTCAGCTCGTCCTTTATATCAATTTAATCTGAATAATTTTATATTCAATTGTCATTTTTTATCAAAATTCTTCCTAAACACTGGTTAAGATGAATCTTCTCTTTAGAATGCTGCTCAAGATTTGTCCTGAATGTGTCTTCCTTGTCTGAATGAGTTTAATCGAAGCTGATCCATGTTCAAGTAGAAAAATGTCATTGAAAGTGGTCTTAATTGCTCATCCACCAAGATGCTTACAAAAACATGGAAGATCTCGGCCCCACCCACAATATTTATGTACAAACAATTGTATCGATTTTTCATCATTCATCATCTCTAAGTATTGATTCTACTAAAATGAATCTGGAAATGTGGTTGAAGAGTGTAATTTTTGAACTATAAAATTTCCCCAGTAAGGTACTAAGGTCTAAGTAAAGGTCTAAGTAAAATAAGGTCTGTTAAAAATATGCAATCGATTCATCAGCAGAGATTCCTCAACTAGTGTAGAAAATTATTACCTCTTATTTAAACATTAATGTGCTGAAATTAACAAATCGAAGACTTCAAAACATGAATGGCAAAAAATGTTGTTTTCAAGCTCTCGTATTTTTTGTATCAGATCGTATTGTTTATTAAACCAGTTTTTACTTTTCTCCAACTAAGTATGATTGGTATTTTTTTAATAATTTACCGGTATCCATCTCCAAGTAAGTGTTGATTTCAAGTGGTGGGTATTCATTTCTGATATTTTTACTTCGAACTATAGTGTTCAACGCAGAAGATTTAGTCAAATAAGTAAATATTGTAGATATTGTTGTGCCTTTTGTTGAATTTGCTGTATTTTATAATTATTTAAGTAAATATTGTATGTAAATCGTTTTGGGTATCCTTTTATTTATATAAGTATTTATAAAGAGAATAGCTCCACAGCGTGAATCAGACTTGAAACTTTACTTTGTTTTGTCCACAAAGCCTCTGTGGTGACTGAATATTTTTAAACATTACGAGGGTATCTTCCTTTTTCCAGAGTCAAATCTATTTCCCTCAATGCATCAGCAATGGTTGTAAAATTCCCGCAATTGCCTCTCTAGCTAATCTCTGTGTGTCCTAACTCCAAATGAATTTCTTGTGTCGAGTTTAGCAGCAGAGATAGCTTTGTGAGTTTGAAACTCCCAAACTCTATTGTAAATTTGTAAACATTCTTTCATACAGAATTTAATAATTTTGTACCTAATTCTAAGTTAAGTACTTTGACTTGTAGACTGTGATAATGATCTAGCAACTTTATGCTGCATGTATAATCTTAAGTTGTATCTATCTCTTTCCGAAGGGACCCTGAATTGTTATTAATTCCCCCTTTTTTCCCTTAATTTTCTTTTCTTTATTTGCTGCTACCACCGGTATAGGATTGAAAATCACCCTTTCTAAGTCTTATTTCCCCACAAATTCAACTAGTTGTTGCTAGTTAATGCTTAATATTGTTTATCCCTGGAAGTCTTTCTTTACGAGTTTCCTTTTCCAAATTTTTTGAAATCACCAAGTAAATAGGAAAAAGTTTGAATGTAGATTTTAAAGCTTTATATTAACATTTAAAGTGACAAATTGGTAAATTTGAAGGAAGAAACAGATGAAGTCATCAATTTTCAAGTTTTGTATTCAAGTGATCCAATCATTTATTTTTTGAAGGACCCAAGCACCAGAAACTGATGAGCTGTGAAAGTTGTCGAAGATTGGAATTTTCATGGTTCAAGAGCATCTGATACTTGAGGAGTTCCCAGGCGTTTTAAAATTCCATACAAAATGTTGATAATATTTGGCATTGGAGTTGATCTCTCAGTGTTTCGTCATCTGATACAAGAAATTTGAAGGAAATCTCGGATCAAGGAATATCCTAATTCTAATCTCTTTTACTGATGAATTTTATTTTATCACTCATGTATTTTTTGACACCAGTGAACAGGAATATTTTCTCCATACATATTATTTCCAAATTTTTTAAATTTATGCAACATTATATGAGAAAATGACTTGTAATCTTTTGGAGTGCTCAATAGAAAAAAAAGAAAACCACTGAAATATATATCAATAAAAGAGCAAGATCTGTTGTCTGTAGCAGTTCAGGTACGGAAAATTTTGATGGTGCATAGTGTGTCTCCCATGTTTTTAAATAAAGTGAAATATTTTATATTTGAATGCAAGAAAATTTCATGTGCAATCGGTGATTTTCAGAATATTACGGTAGTAGTTTGTGATTGTAATTGACGTTTCTTATTCCTAATTATAATTCCAAGGCCATACTTCTGTTAGATTATTATTGTTGATTGATTTTGTACAAAAAATAAGAGAAGTGTTCAAAATTGCATCGTTGCTGAAGTGCAGTTTCTAAATAATTTAGAATCGTAGTAAATCTACTTCTAAAAATTTTCTTTAGATTTTTCTAAAACCAATCCTCTTTAGACTTTTCCATTTATCAGCAATATTATTTTGAACTAAGCATGTCTTTAAGCAAGGGAAATTTTTCATCCCAATCTTTGTTTTCAACTTGATTGATCAAATAGTCTGATCAGCTGAAGCTTTTCTTTCTGTTCAGAGCCATAGGCTGTGCTGAAGACTTTAAGATAGAGCTATATTGATAGTCTAGCTTTTAACTTAATGGCCTACAGTTAATTGTGAAAGAATAACTTTGTCCAAGAAGCCATTAAAGTAAAAGAGAGAATTTGAATACAGCCACTTCTTTTTATCAACCCCTCTTAAATGCATTTCTGTATTTTTAGATTTTAATACATACTACTGAATATTTTAGGAAAACGAACATTAACAAGTAACTCCTAATCATTGTAGAATTTTGAGCACTCACTCACTCAAATTATTATTTTTATTTTTTTTATCTTCGTTTTAGCTAATTTTTAATCAAAATGTTTATATATTTTATTACAAATGACTGGCCAATAAATCTTGTAAACTTGTACATGGATAAATGCTCGTCTCGTTTTTTTCTAATCCTCTTTAAATCCTGAATTTTATTCATTTTATCCAATTCGTAAAGGTCGCTATCAAAAATTTAAATCAGGAATATATTCTTGAATTCCTAAGTACTTACTGCACCGTTAACAAGTAAGAGGACAGGAGGGTTTGAGGTACCAAGAAACTAGTTCAGGTTCAGCAATTTAATAGCTTCAGAATGTTAATATTATGAAAAAATGAAAGAAGAAATCAAGTGAAAACATTTTAATGGTTTTTCTTTCAGCTTGGAACTGACGGGGCATCTACAAAAGACGTCACACACTTTCTCTAATTTTTCAGCCTCATCTTTCCATGTCAGGTCTCTCCACCCTTTTTTATAGAAGTTTGTCTGGTGGTCCCCACTATGTGCTAGGCATCATTTATGGATGGCCCCAGAACAAGATAGAAATTTGATCTCAGGAAAAAGCTGTTTCATCGAGGCTGTCCTTCTCCTCTTGTCAAAGAATGATTCTCCCTCCTAACAGAATTTTTGAATACTTTCATTCATGCAACCCGTTCTCTCCCAAGAATTCATGAGACTACCTAATAATCAGCAAGAAAAATTTATTTATTTTATAATCATTAGTACAGAATGAATCCTGGATGAGCTTCAAATAAGTCAAAAGAGAAAACAATGAATGGACACAATTTTGCAGTAAGGAACTACCATTCCTGGCACATTTTAGGAACAACACATATCGACGGTTTAAGTGGGCAATCACATAACTCGGTTTGTGACATCGCAGACTTCCTGTCATACTTTATTTTTTAAACGAAAAACTACTCAACGGCAATTCTTTAAAACTGCTGTGATTTTATTTCTCTGTGCGAAGAAAATTCTGCAAAAACTTCAAGGAATGCTGTCAATTTTTTCTTATTTGAATAAATGATATTGGGGTGTGAGATTTTCAGACACCGCAACGATATACTGTTAGTTTCCATACGCAGATGGGTCATTCTACAGATAAGCCAGATTTTGCAGTCCCTCATTGCAAAACCTAGTCGAAATGTCTGTATAAGATCTGAATCTTATGGTAAATTCTTGAAAAAATGCAGAATCTTACATTAATAATCTGCTTCAATTAGTTTCGTTTAGACAAGATTTACAATATACCTCCTCTTTCATCTGCGCTTGCCAACTGACTAATTCCTTCAGATTGCCAGAGCTGAAAAGTTAAACTGGTATCAACATATTATTTCCCTCTTTTCCCCTTGGGTGTGAAAGCCTCCCTATTCTCAGAGTAATAAAAGGGATTTACAGGATCAGGGGTGTACCTCCACATACCCTCTTTTAGCTTCGACCTGAGTCCTATATAATAGAAATAGCCCCCCGTTTTGTAACCAAGCGTAATGAAAAGAATTTTCGAAGCCTGATTATCATCCAGGACAGTAGCACGAGGGTCTATATCCATCTCGCCAAGCTTACGAGCTATCGCCGTACAAAGAAGTCGCGCATAACCTTTCCCCCGATGTGTCTCCAAAGTAAACAGCATTGTAATAGCAGAGGAATGAGAGCACACAGCCCATGCCACAGGATGTTTTGCAAAAGGTTGGAATACACCCATGCTAAGGTTTCGCTGCAGCAAGGTATGCAGATATTCCTTGGAGCCTTCGAATTTGTGAGGCCAGTAGCGATCTAAATAATCAACTTGTTTAGTGGTCAGCCGCTCCAGACGGACACTTGATGGACACCTGAAAGCAAAAATATCCTAAGTTATTCATCAATTTTCACCTTTATCAATGAGAATTCAAAATGTTTCAAATCGAAAACATTGTCTGCAAATTTTATGACTGTATAGAGGTACCTACTGTAGTTCCTTACGAAAAAAATTAAAGTCAATAATGTGGGAGTGGAAATAAAGGAAATCAGATCGGAAAATCATTGGAGATTGAAGTTGTCAATAGCAACAAACTGGTACTATTAAGTATGAATAAACTTAAAATTAAGAGGTAAATATATGTAGATGATATAATCTAAAATAAGCACACATGTAGAGAATTATGTACATGGAAACACGTAGGTACAGATCAAAATTTGTAGCAACAAAAAAAAACTGAGACTTCCGGGCCGACACTTCACGAATTGATTTAAATAGCTCTAAGTAGATGCAACGTTATGCACCACTTTTATGTTTTATTTTTAATAAATGTTTTTAAAAGCTACACACAGTTTTTTTGAAAAGTTTCCGCGAATTTACCTACATGATATCAAATAAAAGTACCTATCGAAAATTTCCACACGGCATTTCCGTTCGTTCTATTTTCTTTTAAAGTAACCGAAAAGAAAAATTAAATATCATCCGAGTTTCTGAATCATTGCAATGAAGATACATATTTTCCCTTAAATTATGGTAAAAACTGGAGCAGAAAGTCGAGAATGATGGCACGCAGTCCTGCAGCATTCCCACAGTAGAAGCTAATATGCGTTTCACGCCACCTGACCGACTGCACTACGTTTGATGCAATGCGAGAAGTGTTCATGCAGTCTTGTAGGCGCTAATACGGACCGCACTGTTTGGCGCAATGCCTGAAGTATTCCGAAAGTCTTGCAGGCGCTAATATACGTTCATCGTCGCGCCGGTCGCACTGTGTTTGGCGCAAAGACATGTTTGGCGCGATTAGGTACTCGAACTTGTGTTAGAATAATCGCGGCATTTATTAATAGTGCTTCAAAGGCCCATGTTGTGTTTCGACGCTGCATGAGCATTCCAACGTTGCCTCGTTTCTTCCGATTGAAATTTTTTTCTGAGAAAAGTCCGGAAAAATTCTTTATACCGCCGACCACTGCTCAATCTTCTCACTTCATTTATCATCGAATGGTAAACAAACTAACCTAAACTACCGTTAATATAAAAATGCATTTACTTAGTTCCCAACTGTTTCCTGTTTTGCCAAACTTCTACCTTAAATCAACTTCATTTTAAATTCGCGCATCCCTATAGCAGATGCTAGGGTATACAAGCCTTGTGCCTTTTTTGCGCAATCCTCATGTATTTTTTTTAGACCTTCCGCGCAACCCTGGATTACCGTTCTACACGGCGACTCTCTCAGTTTTGCATGAGAATACGATGACCAAAGCAAGAAGACTTAAAAACCACAATATAAACCAAGCGTTTGGGCTCTCTTTTTTGAATTGAGACTTACAGAAAAAAAAATTATCATTCAATAATCAAAATAATGTACTTCGGGCATTTTTAGCGGCTCTGGTGCTTGCACTAGAGCTGCTATTCCGGACGGTCCCAGCTGGGGAGTATCATTGGACCATGTTACATTGGAGAGACCGCGCGTTGGTTAATGGGAATCGGCGCCATTTTCGGCTATGTTCCTTGTCATGACTTTATTTTATTGCATATTGTTTTATTGTTAGCCAATGCTATGTTGTGTAGTGTATTTTTGGAATCATGGTGATACAGTCAATAATTCAAAACTTGTCTGTGCTTTAATCTCGTGATGGAAAAAATGTACTTTACGTTCAAAATTTGAAAATTTGAATTTTAAAGTTTTCGCGGTTAAGGAAGCTCCAACCACTGGGTTGGAGCTTCCTAGTCATATTACTCGATATCAGCTGATAGCAAACAAAGGTTACCAAGGAAACCGTAAACGTCTAATGCCGTCTGCCCACGTAGCAAATGGGAGGCGAAAATGGAAGTCATCAGTGCATCGTTGAGTGTTGACGCCCGATCCCATTTTCAGACATGTTCACACGTTTTGCTTGCAAAGAAAAAAGGCGGCAAATCAATTTTTATTATTGGACCAATGAGTGTTCTCCAATTTGAGTTTGTAAACATCGTGGTTTCTAGGTTAGGTTTTTGGCTGTGTGATAAATGATATTATGCCGTCTTTGATTTTGTTAAAATGACTCGATATATGTTATTTGATAAACGATTGGAGTTTTGATAAAGTAAGTTGATTTGAATTAAAAATTGTGTCCTTAAAAAATGGATGATGAGGTGATTTGGTTAACATGGGCATTTGTGGTACTTGCGGCGTATTGGGAGTTTGTATGGAAACGACGTGGCAGTAGTCCACACTTTTTACAAGAAACTATTTTGTACAAAGTTCTGTACAAATTTTACACTATTTATACAGTAATATAATACAAAAAAATTATGTACTTTATCACAACTCACATAGCTTCAAAACAAGATAGAAAATGATGGATGCTCAGCCCCGACACATCGATGATCGCGAAATTTGCGCGGCCCGCGCAATTTTCACGTTCAACACTCACCGATGCACTGATGACTTCCATTTTCGCCTCCCATTTGCTACGTGGGCAGACGGCACACAACTACCGTGGCCATCGGGGCGATTATTGAAATGACATCGACTCTATGTCGCCGCTTACGACAAGACATATAGCCCTATCTTAACCGTGTAATATATCGCAATTCGATATTCAAAACCATTACCTACAATTTCAGATATAAAAATGCAAATTTTTTGCAGCCTCGCTAAACGACTTATCAACCATGCATTCCAAAGTTTCTTATCACAGGGCTGTGAAAATATACAATCTAATAAATACAAAATAACCAAATATCTAAAAAGACAAAATTTCAGTTACAGTCAGTTTCAGTCTTATTGTTGCACAAACTAGTTATTTGACAAAAAAAGAAGATGATCACTCAATTGAAAGAAATTGGCGCCCAATCACAACGACAAGTTAAAAAAAATACTGTGGGAGAAATTTTTTAGGATGCGGACCTCCAAAGAGCCTTCAAAATTAAAAGTATACAACAAGTGATAGTGCCATGCATTCTGTATATCAAGGGCCAATACACATTTATACACCGGCTACGTAAATCTGCTAAGTTACAAAACATGAATCGTCAGTTGTCGGATTGTACATCAGTGACAAAATGTGTCTAGGCCCTCATTCTTGACTACAACTACTGTCGCCAGAGCCGCTCTCCGACGCGAATGCGTTGGAGCTTCCTGCTTGTTTAAAATTACGGCTCGATTGAAGATTTCAAAATTATGAATATTTTTGGTCAACATCATTTTGCAAGGCCACTCACATAGGATACAGAAAAGCGCCTTCAACCCACTTCGTAATCTTAATGCAAAATTCTGATACCACTATTCGTGCGTCACGACAGTCATTTTGCATAGCCGGCTAATTGAAGGCAAATCATTGGCCAAAGCAACCCCCAGTCCAGCAAAGTCCAGCCCCCCGGAATTCTCTGAGAACTGAGAATTTAAGAAATGAACCAAAAACCGACATTGAAATGTGGCAGGCACATAATTAAATATCTTACTCTATCTTCAAATTTCTGGCTCGCTCTTTGTCCATCCAGTACATTTCGGTTTTGATGGAGAAATGTTTCTCCAAATTCTTCACGGAAACTATCTGATTTACCATCGGTGTCAGCTTTTCTGGCACACCGTCCAACACACAGTTGATTTTTGTCGAACCCCAATCGATCAAATGAGTCTTCAGTAATGCCGCCGTCAGCTTATGGTCCTCGGGGTCTTGTGAATAGAAGTTTATCGCCTGAAATGAGGTCTGCAGAGAAAATTAAAAGGATTTTTTCCTTTTCAATCGGAAGGAGGGGGGGGGGTGTCAAAATAGGGCTGCAAGGTTGTGGACTCATCAATATTTAATACGTGAAAATCAAGGTTTTCTCACATAATGGGTCTGACGTTAGTAGGTAAAAAAGATCGATTTACGCCGGAAGTTTTTAAAAAAAAAAAAAAAAAAAAAAAAAAAAAAAAAAAAAAAAAACGCGAGTCTCCTAAAAAAATTAACTGCACGTTATTTTTGAGACTATATTCTACAAAAAACTTCTAAAATCCCGTCCGAAAGTTTTGCCCCGTGTTGAGTAAATCCAAATACATAGGTTGTCCCAAAAGTACTGCACGTTTTTTTCTTATTGACGAACGGTAGTAGATATCAAAATGCGGTTTGTGTAGTCTTAAAGACCGGCCAATTACCAATAAAACAAGACAAATCCGAGCTCTCTAAGTCAAAAAATGACCAAGTTACAGCGTTTTGAAAATGACTTGTAGAGGGGACCCCTACGGAATTTTCAGCCTCTTTTCTGGAAAAAAACAAAGAATTAAGGATTCAAGAGGTTTTATTAAATCAATTTTGCAGAATCTTACCAAGATTACCAGCATTTACTCTCCTTCACTAGATGACTGCAGGACACTAGTTTCCTTCTCAAAATACCCTCCATCACTTGCCACACAGCGCCGCAACCGTTCTTCCCAATTCTTCAAAGATGGTTTTTTCGAATTCTTCTTGTCTAATGTTCTTTAAGAAAGTTTCAACAGCTCTTTTCATCTCGTTGATGGAGTTAAACTTCCTGCCTCTTAAGCCCTTTTTCATCGTAGGAAATAACCAAAAATCGCAGGGAGCAAGGTCCGGGCTGATATCATGTTACCAACTTCATTCGATCCCGACGATTTCTCTGTAGAATTTTTGATCAATCAAAGCTTTGTTTTTTCAAGAAAAGAAGCTAAAATCCTGGAGGGGTCACCTCTACAAGTCATTTTCAAAACACTGTAACTTGGTCATTTTTTGACTTAGAGAGCTCAGATTTGTCTTGTTTTATTGGTGATTGCTCGGTCTTTAAGACTACACAAACCACATTTTGATATCTGCTACCGTTTGTCCAAAAAAAAAACAAACAATCAACTCTTTGTTTTTTTCCAGAAAAGAAGCTGAAAATTCCGTAGGGGTCCCCTCTACAAGTCATTTTCAAAACGCTGTAACTTGGTCATTTTTTGACTTAGAGAGCTCGGATTTGTCTTGTTTTATTGGTAATTGGCCGGTCTTTAAGACTACACAAACCGCATTTTGATATCTACTACCGTTCGTCAATAAGAAAAAAACGTGCGGTACTTTTGGGACAACCTATGTATCTGTATACCATCAAAAAGCTCTGAGATTATTTGAGAGAGAAAAGTTTATTGAAATCTGTTGAATACAGCGAAGTCATCGACTAAATAAGGAAATGGCGACGTCGCAACCCGGCGTGGCGCGGCGCTTCGAACCAAAATGACCATTTTTTAGCGTCTCAGATGAGATTTTATCAAGCTAAGTTCCCAAATTTCGCAAATGCCTTGATGCATTTTATGCCGTTTTTGACACAGCGCTTTCATTTGAACGCTATTTTTTTTTTTTTTTTTTTTTTTTTTTTTTTGTTTTTTTTGGCAAGAGAACGATTGTGCTTACTGATCGATTGGCAGTTTCCAATAATATTTTTATAATCATACTTTTTTTTATTTATTTATTTTTTTTAAAATTGTATTTATTAATTTGCTTTTTCTGTTTTCAGTCCGTATAGTGCCTCGAGTTACGTTCTATTGTTTTTTCTTGGAGGAATCCCAGGAAATTTTTTACGCTCACAAGTTGCTAGGTACACTCACGTTGAAGACGCTGACGCATGCGCCGCACTTGAGTTCAGCTAGCGGTTCATAGATATTATGGTCCTCTGGGATATTCTTTTCTTTGCGCCATCGAATCACGTTCTTTGCCAATCCATCTGCCTGCAAAAAAATCAATGATAGTAACCGAAATCAATAATCGAAATAGTAATCAAACGAATCATTTTGGAAAGTCTCTTTGACTCGAGCGGTCAGCTGTCCCGAGACAACGGTGTATTTGACTACATACCTAACGTGGCTGCTGTTACTTCTCTTTAGTATCTTCGCATGCACCCTCTTAAAAATAATTGTACAGAAATATACAATTACTTTTTGTTCCTTAAAAAAGCCAACTTCCAGAATTTAAATTCTACCCATTTTTCAGCGTCTGTGTCTAGAGAGTGCTGGCTATCAAAAGTTTGTTTCACGTGGCCATGTTCACTTTGGAGAAAAAACGTGCAATCGGAAAAAAATTACCTGAAACCGGATTTTTCAACACTATAGCCTGAATATACATATTATGCATTGCCATTCAGGTGTTTCCTAATGGTTATTGATTGGAGGTAATTTTAATATCCCTGGTAAAAATTGGCAGTAGAATCTGTGTTCCAAAATACCATAGACCTACAGCCGGCTGTAAGATTACCAGTAGCTTCTACAGCCGGCAACACAATTTCTTATAGCCTTTTATAGCCGATGGCGACTAAGCAACAGCCTGGCGATAAAGTGTATACTAAACGTTATTAATTACGGATGCTAGGACTTAGTGAGTTTTTAGACTACCGCTCTCTTTTTGGGCCGTAGTATCTTGATTTATTTTGCGAGGGAAGCTCCGTACTTTGAAGGATGCCTGCCATTCTTAATATGTTGGAGCGCCTTCAATTTCGTATGATACTGTGCAATACTTTAGGCGTGAAATAGTTGCTTCAAGCGCCGTGGTACGCTGCGGCGCGGCGCTGCTGGCGGGTAGCCAGCGCTTAACGCGCATTGGCGCCTACAAACCTAACAGGAATACTTCACGCATTGCGCAATGCGTGAAGTATCCCTGTTAGGTTTGTAGGCGCTAGTGCGCCGCCGCTCCGCTTTGTGTTAGGCTCTAATATTTGACTTTGAAATGTTTGCACACTCTGTATGGATTATTCTCATTTTAATTGACGAAAAAAAATATGTAGTAAAGGAAAATATAATGTGCGTTTTGTAAATATTAAGGTGATTCCGTACAAACTTAAAGATTTACAAAGCACACGAATTTCTACACAATTTCTCATAGCCTTTTACAGCCGATGGCGAAAAAGCAACGGCCAGGCGATAAAGTGTAAAGCCCGGCGATAGGAACTATAGCCTGGCTGTATAATTTTTTATGGCTTCGTGTAGCCCGGCCGTATGATTTTTTCCACTTTCTACAGCCAGCTATATGATTTTCCATCGCCTTCCTCGGTCGGCTATAAGAACTCCTATGGTATTTTGAAACGCAGCTCCTATCGCCAATTTTTACCAGGGATTCGTGTGTATCGTCAATGATAAGATTGAAAAAAAACTCTTCATGTAAGAGTCTTGTAGAGAGAACGTTTTCTCTTGAGAAACGCAGTTTTCCTACAAAAATAGTTAACTTGCATTCACAATCCGCATAACCTTCGTTCAATTTTCGTTACACACGAGACGACCATATTAACGTCCAGGCAGCTCAAATTGCATACCTTCCAAAATGAAGGAACGATCAGTTTTTCGCTCACATTTCAACTTAAACCCCCTTTCTCGGGACATACTACACATATTTTCATGATATTTCGATACGAGTAAGAAACTAACCCCACGCACGTGGAGGAAATTGCCGGTGGTAACTTACGTAAAGGGCATCTGGAATATCTTCGTGCAATATTTTCAACAGATCCTCCTCAAGGTATTTGATCGATATGGGCTTCAGCGATTCTTCTAAGATTTCCTCTTCATCGTATAATGTCCCACTATACTTTGCTCCTGATGGGGGAGGAGGAAGGTCCTCAGCTTCTTCTGTCATTTCCTGTTTCTTAGGAGTAGGATGGTCCTCTGCTTCTTTTGTCATTTCCTGTTTCTTGGGAGGAGGATGGTCCTCTGCTTTTTCTGTCATTTCCTGTTTCTTGGGAGGAGGATGGTCCTTTGCTTCCTCTGCCATTTCTTGTTTCTTGGGAGGAGGATGGTCCTTTGCTTCCTCTGCCATATCCTGTCTCTTGGGAGGAGGGTGGTCCTCTGCTTTTTCTGCCATTTCCTGTTTCTTGCGGAGTTCTAAATATCTCAAGGCACGAGAAACCTAAGAGAAAAATTTACGATGTTCACGTTCACAGTTAGGATTCAATTTTTAGGGCGTACCTAACCCCGATGCTAATTAAACGTACCATGTGAGTATTGTATGGTGACCCCGAATCCAGGGGAGGAGGATAAAATTTTATGTCATTGTGCTTCTTTGGCACAGCCGATAAGGGAAAAAGTTCAAAATCACGGTAGTTTTTAAGCATTGCCGTTTGCGTACTTTTCAAATGAAGAAACAAAGTATGACAGGAAGTCTGCGATGTTGCAAACCGAGATTTGAAGTTTGGGAGTTTCACCGTCGATACATATTATTTCGTCGCTTCACTGACATACGGGCGTAACTCAGCGTAACTACACCTCGCGATGAACCCTGTCGTCCATACGGTTCAATGATTTTCACGGTTCATCTTGCTTTGCAGTTACGCCCTTTTGTCAGCCGGGCGACGATTTGTTTCACTCAAAGAGCGGAAATAAATTGAGTTTATGCGAGTAGGTAATTGAGTAAATCTCCTGCTTTTGGTCAAAATTATAAGCTACATTTTCTTTCAAAGACTCACCTTGTTTATCCTCGGCTCTGGGCACCTCTCCTAAAAGTCTGTAATTCTCATTACACACTTATAGAGCTCCTCTGCCTGTTTAAAGTTGAAGAGTAGGTAAGCGTGTAATAAGTCAAACATAGAAATTATTTCATTTCATTTCTTCACATTATCGAATCAATTTATCTGTCTTTCCCCCTTAGATTGGTTTTTGACACACCAATTTATCATGAAAATAAGAGAAGCAACAATGTTGTAAGATTACTTATCGACCCTTAGATGCCCAAAACTTTTTTGTATACGTAAAGTCCATACTCGGACCAGATTGACCAGTATTCAAATAAATCTATTTTAATAGTTTTTGAAGTATTTTTCTTCTTATTTCTATGTCTTCAGGTAAGGAAATGTTCACCTCTTTCTTAACATACTGGCGCTCCAAATGGAGAGGACGCGCACGTTGATGACGGCGCAGAAATACAACTATTCGTGCTTGATGCATGTTCGTGTTGCGTTTGAAAAATTGAAGGCGCGAAGGTGGGAGGCGTGATGTCTTAATGCTCCCGCTCAATGCTGCAAATGAGGTTTTAAAGAAATGAAGCCCGAATACGTCTCTCCCATTTTCGGCTGTGCTGACACTCTATTTTCATTCTATTTTTTTCAATTATTCGACGTCAAATGTTTTTTTTTTACAATATAATTACACCGCGGGGCACGTAGTTTTTCCAAGCCTCGGCTGGGAATTTTTCCCCACAAGTATTTATGTGACAGCGTTGTTCTTCAGAATACTGCCTCCTATCTTTGATAACTCTTAATTTTCGGAATTTACAGTAATTTTGCTTTTATCATCGAAGGCACCGTCAACCGTCATTGGTGTCGATAAACGATCTCTCTCATTTGAAATGCCTTCATAGCGTGGATTATGCAACTCCCAATGCAGCCGGAAAAAAAGAGAAAAGTGTGACGTAAAATCAAAACAAACGTGATTATTTGAAAATTGAGGTTATGTGTAAAAATGAGGTAATGAAGTTTGAAGCATGATTGAAGTGTCTTGAAGTCTTGAAGTCGAAATTTTGTTATAGAAAAGCTGAAAACACCGAAGTTAAGTCATAGTGTTTAGTGTATTAGCAATGGATAATTTGTAAAATTGAGAAGCACCAGCCGATTTCATATAGGGTTAGTCGAATCATCAATATTTTTGCTTGGATTACTCTCTGAAATCCATTGGCACACCCTGCAATGTCAAGTCGAGCATGTCAAACACACCTAAATATCCTTTCATTTAAGGTAGTATATTTTTATTTTATCATTCATAGACTGAGTTCTAATATGTTATTCCCTATGTGAACGTAGATTTTCTCTACATTTGCATTTAATTGCAAAGAAAGATCAAAAGTGAGAACATCCCAGCTATCTTGATGCATTAAGAAATTTGAAAAACATTGATGATAAGCATAGTAGAGCCGCAGGAAGCTAGCGGCAATATAGTTCATAACTTAACACCTGCATATCTCAATTTTGTGACTCAATTTTAGGAAATAGCTATTTATATTGAAGCAGTTTCGAAGTGCCCCTCTTGATGTACCTAAATTAGAGAACATATAATCAACACAAATCATTAAAGACTGTTCATACAACTTTTGATTCCCATCGAAACTTACTCAATTCTGGTTGAAGTAGTGGAACTAAGAAGCTTGCATTCATGCAAACTTCAGTTTCAAGCTGATTGCACAGTGCAAGTACACCGAAAAGTCCAGTTCTGAAGATGCAGAATCACTTCAATTTGCATTTGAATCAAGTTAAAATGATCATGCATAATTTTTTAGAGAATCTAAGGAATATTTAATATGCTCCTTAATTGTGATCGTATCAAACCCATTGTGAGCTCAATAGGAGCATCGCTGCAGAGTTAATGCGAAGGTCTCGTCTGTGAGCATCTCTTGATTTGAATCGCAAAGTACTATTCAACCTACGTTGAAATCCTTATTTAAACGCAGGTACATAGACAAGCTCAAAAAAGAAAATGATCAATTAGGAAGAGAAGTAGTTGTAGCATTATGATATTTGAAAACTCTTATTCGAAAATACTTCTGAGTCAGTCTAGAGAGAACCTAAGGTGTACCACTATTAAAGTTAACAAAAACACTCAGTGGTAAATAGATCCCTTATATTGTTAGACTGTTATGACTGTTGTTTATATTATTTGAAGAAAATAAAATATAATGTGCGACTTTAAAGCATTGCAATTGAGGTATGCATTTTTGGCATTAAGTTTTCCATCTTAATTTATGCATGCACAAATCTTGGTACAAACCTGTTGATCTTGGTAGCAAATCTCTTGATTAATCTTGAAATTTAAGAAAAATTGTAGTTGCTGCATTATTTTTTGCTGTGTAACTATTGTTTCAGCTTTGTCATAATTTTCTATTAGTTTCTTCCTGTTTTATTATTTAATTTTTTCTGCTATACAAAAGAAAACAATTTAAATTTTTGAACTATTGACAATTAAGTGCAACCGAACTGAAAATCTGACCATATACACTTAGTGCCTCGTTTTTTAAAAGGCTACAGAGAGATGACCTACTTCTGCGATTAGTTGTTTTTTGTTGAAATGTAACTACGCTGAACTTCAATTTAAAACATATCAGGTTAACTCATTTATTATATGTCATAACCTCAAGACACTTCATTTATTTTGTAGGTGCGTTAACTGCTGTGACAATGGCCTCCAGTGAGCAAATTGAGCTTTCCAACTTCATCAAGACAGTCCACCATGAGCTCAGAAATTTAGCGCTAGAGGAGGGGTTTGATGGTGCATGGGAAAAACACTGCAAGGATGAAAATACTTTGAAGGTTTGTTTTATTAAATTGTAATGACTTTTCACCAAGATTAAAATCAACTGCCAACTTAGCTTTTACCAATTTCTTACTCTCAAAAATGGATCGCTAGGCAGAGTAAGAATAAATTTAACATGACACGTTATGAGGCATGATCTCATCAAAATTTCATGCAAAAGACATCCAGCATCCAGCAATTCAAATATTAAGGTGTAAAAGGAGGTTGTGAAGTTCAACTTATTTGTAGAATGGATAAGCTGAAACAAGTTCTATTCAAAGTGCTTGAAATCTTTTATTTTCCAAAAGTGTGAGTTAATTTCCTGATGCTGTGATATCTTTAATTTTTGTGGCAAAATTGGGGCGAATTTGAGGAGGGCAGTCATGGTTTGAATTTTGTGTCTAATAAAGTTATGAGGCTCTTCTAAGAACTCTTGATTGTAATGGATGCATTGACTATGATTCCTTATGTATTGATGAAAATTCAAACGAAATAATGCAGGCAAGAAGTCATTATGACACTCTATTTTAAAAACTGCATGATTTCTAAACGTCCATGGAGAATGATCTTTATCCCTCACATTCAAATCAGTGTCATTCAATGAGTTTCCCATTACTTTTCCTGGTAGCATTCAAATATTTCCTGTTAAGAATTCTTGCTCTGTTTATACCACTTATAAATTTTCCCTTTGCATTTCAAATAAGTTTCCGAGTTGTGAAACTTGTATTGCCTTTTTACTTTTTTTCATCTCTATTCCCTGTTGGTTGGAAGCTAGTTTCTGTGTTTCATGATTTGACCTTGTGTGTTAACAGATGTCATTCACTCACACTTGAAAACGCTTTTCATTTTTCAGAGGTATGCTGAGGCTATGCATATTTTGGCCGTTAATCATTGGGGTGGAAAGAACAAAGATGACCCATCACGAAGTCGAATCATATGGGTTCATGAACAGTCTTCCTCTTATTTCAGGAATGGACTTTTACTGAAATCAAGAGATAAAGAACTACGCCTTAGATCTTCCTTCAATCTGTCAGACAATGAACATTCCATAGAATTTATCAAATTTCATCCCCCCTTTAGATTATTGGATGTTGGAAGTTGCTATAACCCTTTTAGTGCGTTTCAAGAGTTTCAGACAATTGCTATTGATCTGATGCCAGCTACAAAGGATGTTCTACAATGTGATTTTTTGAAAGTTCCAATAGTCGAAAAAACTGTTTCTTTTGAACAGTGTCATGAATGTACTGTTTTACCTGCGCTCTATTTTGATATTGTTGTATTCTCCCTGTTCCTGGAATATATACCAGCTCCAACCAAGCGCTATGAGTGTTGTGTGAAAGCTCATCAACTTCTGAGGCCAGAGGGTATTTTGATGATACTGACCCCTGACTCGAGACATGAATCAGCCAACTCAAAACTATTAAGGGCGTGGAGACTGAGTTTAGCAAAAATTGGGTTTTTTCGAGTTGGGTATACGAAATTACAGCATTTACATGGGCTTGTTTTTCGAAAGTGCATCGATTCTCGAGTGTCTCAGTTTTGGAGTCAGCGGCAACCTGATAGTATATACTCAAGTGAAAGTTTATCGATTCCTCAGGATGTTTCTGATTTTATGTCGAACAATCAAATATTGTCATCTGATTCAGTCTTTGTCAAAAGTAGCCAAGATGAAGAAATAATCGCTAGTGATTTCACTTTTTTACCAAATATAGATGCTGAAAATTAGACATGATTTTTCTTGCCTCTAATTATCATCATCCAAGCCCCCCTCTTACTGTTTTTGAAAACTACTTTACTATGTTTTTATTCGTAAAAATAAAAGTTGATTTAGCATTAAGTACCTACTGCAAGATGAAAATCAACTCATGGTAGGAATATTTTCTTGCATTTTTAAAGAAATTAGTGCACCTTCATTTGTGAAGGGGCCGCCCACAAATTATGTCACCCAAGTAGGGGGGAGGGGGGTCAAGCCAAGGATGACGTAAGTTTTCCTGAAGGCAGAAAGGATGAAAGTGCGATCAATTTTCTGAGTTTTTCTCCAGAACACAACATATATCTTGTACTCAAGAATAGAAATTAATTATGTTCCTAACGCTGCAGACTACATCTACTGATTTTTTATTGATATTTAGCGTTTTCCCCCAAAAAGTGGGGGGGGGGGCTCCCGAAGGATGACGTAATTTTTAAGGGAGGGGTCTATGGATGACATTTGGATACGGGGAGGGAGGGGGGCAGTTGAAAAATTTAAAAAAAATGAGTGAAGCAATTTAGGGACTTAGAGATTTTCTCAGCAAGAGCAGAATAAAAAACAGTAAGAACTGAATGATATTATGGATGAAAGCATCATATGATTTTTCTCTTTTTCCAGAAAAACACATGTAATGTTTAATAATTAGATTGGAATGCTTCTATGATACAAATACACTTTAAAGTGAAGAAAGTTTCTCTTTCGGGGAAAAACTGAGGGCTAGTGATCAATTTTTTCACCAAGTATGCTGTGAGACGACTCAAAATTACAAAATTTTAAATTTTACTTAATCAAAATCTAGTCGACGCCAAACTTCTAAATCCAGGATACATACTTCTCATATAAAACCCTATTACTCAATCATGATTCTGCTAAGTAGATTTTCTCTTACAATTTTTTGCATTCATGATGCCGTATAATTTTTTTTAAAAACTCTAGAATTTCCATTTCTTTTTCAAGGAATATTAAGAGCTTATTCAAAGAATTTAAAATAAAAAGTAAAACTGTTCTATGCACTACACACAATTTGTTCAATATTACTCTCTATCTGAGTGGATTTTTTTTTCCAAGGTAGATCAAATAAAATTTTCAAAAGTTTTATCAATCTGTACCTTTGGAACATGGCTTTAAAAACTATTTTATGAAGAGAGTACACATTCTAAGTCGAAGTTCTTGAAACTTTTGTAAAATTAACTAAGAACTTCAAAAATTGCCTCTTTCTTCTGAGAGTCTATGAAGTTATTAGGAATGCTTAGTTCCTACAGGAAAACAAAAAAAAGAAGAGAAAAAAAAAGAATAAATAAGATCGAGAAATAGTTGTAAAAGGATGTACCTAGTAAAATTGGTTTCATTTAATTATAAGAGACCATCCTACTTCTGTAGGCAGGGAAGATCTGCTAGCAGGGAAATGAACATTTTTCTAACGCTTTCCAGAAAATTGTCCGACAAATTTTGTAACCTGTAGAAAGGAAAATCGTAGGTTTTCCAATTTGAACACCCTCACATTTTTTCCCAGTGAATCAACCCATGAAATTTGTGTGTTCCATTTACACATTTAATCAACGTTCCAACAAGTCAATATAATGTTTTTAAAGGGGTGGAAGGGGGGGGGGACACCATGGCCATGCCGCACCGTTCTCTCCCCGTCCCGCCCTTCATGCCGGCTTTGTGCGCCTGGACAGTAGCGACACCTGGCGAATGTTGATGTCGATACTCAAACGCATTGTTGATTACCAATGTGAATCGAGCGCACCAACTAACACGATATACTGCGTCAAGACGCTGCACTACGAAGTGACTGTCAATCGTAGTTATACCTCCGCAGCCACGGTAGCGCTACACGTCCCTCTCTACTGTAAGGACGTAGTATGCCAATTTTTCATTATTCAACTGGTTTTTCCCTTACATAGATAAATTACTGTCTACTTTTCTTTTCCCTTCGACGTGAGAAAATCGACGGCGTAAGTCCGCAATACATATCTCGTTTGCGGTGTCTAAAAATCTCCGCCTCTATGTTATTTTTTTAAAGGAGAACAAATTGACATCATACCCTGAAGTTTTTGCAGAATTTTCCTCGCACAGAGAAGAAAAATCACGGTAGTTTAAAAGAATTCCGTTGAGTAGTTTTCCGTTTAAAAAATGAAGTATGACAGGAAGTCTGCGACGTCGCAAACTGAGTTATGTGATTGCCGACTTACACCGTCGATATATTCGAAGATCAACGTCAATGTGTAAGCAGTTTTAACTATGAGCGAATGGTTTTTTTTTTTTTTCGCATATAAGTACCTCGTTAAAAGAAAGGAACCGCAAAGAACCAGTGAAAAATGTTCATCCATTTCTGACACCCTACGATTTTGATGGAAACGTGCTGCCGATGATGCTAAGAGTCCTCTTTGACCTTAAAAAATATTGAGCTATCAACAACACACGGAAATACGCGAACACATTGGTCAACTGGAGAACACACGCACCGCACATTGATACTTACGGGTCATTCATAAAACATATAACACTCATGCGGGGGGGAGGGGGGTCTAAGAAAGCGTTACAGCCAGGGTCGGACTGACTCGCATCTAAAGGCGTAGACCCTTGGCTGGTTAAAGGGGCGCAATGTGATATTTCCTGGTAGGGCATCTCCTACGTGGAGAGGAGTTCAGAAAATTTTGGCAAAGCGGTACAAGTTTACGCTATTTTCAGGTTCAAAGTTTATTAATCGTACGGAGTAAAAATTGCAAAATTGAACGTATTGAAGTAACCGACACACTTCTGAAATTATAGAAAACATGAAAAATTAAAGCTACTAGACGCATCCAAGCACCGTTATTTCCCAAAAAAAGCGAGCCAGTGCTGCGGTTTACACGAGATGAGGACGAGGGTCTGCAAATCCATCCTAAAAAAGAGTTAGACAAGAACCTGAAAAAAAAGAACGAGTATACACGACTGTGTTGACAGTCGAATACAGAAAAATCGTATTCGGGCCTCTTTTTTAACTTTTTCCCCGAATCTGAGCGACACCTCATTGACAGCATGTAGCAGAGCATTGAGAGCTCACTCCTCGCGTCATCGCGCCTTCAATTTTTCAGATGCAGCACGGACGTCCATCAAGTACGAATAGTTGTATCTCTGCGCCGTCGTAAATGCGCATCCTTTGCCTCGCTTTATTTCCATATTGTGTTTGTTTGCGTTTGTCTTATTCGTAATGGTGTCTCAAGCACTACGAGAGTAACACAGCCGAAGGTAGGAGAGATGTTTTCAGACCTCTTTTTTAACTTATAAAATATGTTTAAAGGTCTCTCAAGAGGTGCATAAGGGTGCGTGTGTCTAAAAAACAAACTGAACATCGCTTCTAGGGGAGTTACGATAGCGAATGAAGAAAGAGGATGATAAAGCGCCTGTATGTCAACAAAAAGGTGAAAATTTCACAGAAAAGTGTTTACGCTTCAGTAAGTAGTTCTTGAACCTCTGTTTAACACTACCATGCGTAAAAGCACCTTCCTTTATTCGTAACTCTCTCTTATTCCGTTCACTTAAGAAATTTTCCGCAAATATTCTTGGTTGTAATTGTTTTTCTCTTCTTCTTTTGCTACCTGTCAAAGGGACGCGTTTCCGGCACGTCAAGGAGGCGTATCTGCCAATGGCAGATTGGCCTTATGGCCAGTCCGAGTCTGCGTTACACCATTTTGTTTTCATCTGTTAAAGAATACGGACTTACTGCGTCATAATACCGTTACGAAAGGGAGAAGGGTCGGGGGCGGAGGTCCAGATGTTTCAGAATCGCTCGATTTTTTGCTCTTTTACTAACCTTTTCGACAAATCATAAATACACTCGTTAACCGAACGGCGAAAATCCGTAATTTTGACGTAAGGTAACGGCGAGTGAAATGTTGACAACTTGTTTATAAAAAGACGGAATATCTGGACTTCTGCTCCTCTGAACTGCGAGAAAATTCCCAAGTCCTTAATATAAAGGATTCTTTCCAAATGAATTAATAAATAAAATTTTTAAAAATTCGAATTACACGTGAAAAGTACCCACTACCACCCAGTTCCACATATCGATCGAACAGGAGCCAAGATAGCATTTTAGACCACATCTATGCACCATCTTTTTTCGAATTTTGAAAATGTGCGTTACATTACAAGTTTCCCGTCAAAGAATACCAAGTTTTACAAAAATCGATCGAACAGGAGCCGCATATCGTGGGATCAGTGGGACTCTGCACAGTGATAAACGACATCGGTCAATTTACGAACGACGGTGCGCCTTCATTTTTGACTGATACTGTGCAACTCACCTGTGGCGGAATAGTTGCCCAGAGCGCCTTCAACGGTATCACCTCGACTTGATGGCGGAATATGACGATTACCAGAGGCGGATCCAGCAACTTAGCAACACCGGATTCCCTCCATTTACACCTATGGTAAATAATCGATTCTTGTCGGAGCACCTGCCCCCTCCAAGAATCGATGCATTTCCATAGGTTTTAATGAAGAAAAACTATGTTGCCTATTTGCTAGATCCGCCAATGACGATTACCGTTGAAATTATACCCTGGCGCGTGCGCAAATGTATACTTTCGCTTCACCGATGATGAGGTAAAAAACACGCATACTGCAATTTGAGCCGTTGCAAGTTTTCCACTGATTATATGCGGGTAAACTAATGTGAATAATCTAAAATCTGCCGTGTTTTTATCTAAGATGAGATGAAAAAATATTATTTTAATGTTTCATCCAAATCTGTTTGGATTTTTCTTTGGTTAATTAGTTAAAAAGGGAAAGAGAAATATGAGAGGCAACCTCCGAACGAGCAAAATCGGCTTTGGTTTTTATAGCCCTCGAAGTAAATAGGCCCGAGGAGTTGAAAAAGCGTCTAAGCAAACTGAATGATAATCAGTGTTATTATCAGCTCGCTTTTGCATCTATGATGTAAAGATTATGAACTTTGAATATATTCCTCAGTATCCTTAATTCTGCAGTGTGGT